TTTTTTTTTTTGCAAAACAATTGCGATGTTTACACTTAAGGAAGATTTTTTCACAAGCTGCTATATTTAAATGTTAGTGCCCTTATCTATCCACCTCATGTCCCCCATGTCTCTTTATGTCCATTAGACCAGGCATGCAAGAATAGACTATGCAGCTACTCCATTTCACAGATTTAGAACCAAATATAAATCAGATGCTAAGGAAGATGTAACCAAATTACCCCAGTGGGCTTGGCATAGGTCTGCACACATACATCCTGTTCTGCTGTTGCTCCCTGCTAAGTGCAGAGAAAGGAATACAAGGACGTACATCACAGAGAACAGATTGCAAAAATAAAATAAAAACAGTAAAATAAAATAAAATCACAACAATCCCTTTGGTGCAGATAAGCTATACTTCACATTTTTACATATTTTTGAGGTTTTTTAGTATATTTTGCTCTCCTATAATTCCTTTTTTCTGCTTAGAATGTTAAAAGTCCTTGCCTTTTTACAAAACCTGGTGAGACCTATAGAAAATCCTCAGTTTATACATTGTTCAGATTAACAGAGAAATGTCCTGATGCTATAGGACAATTTACAATGAATTTAGCTTCTTGATCAGTAACCACTTGGAATATCTCCAAATCTACTAATCTTGCTTTCCTATTTTCCTCCAAGTAAAATATGTAATTTCAAATTGACTATAATTTTTTCTTTTCTCTTTTTTTTTTTTAATGAACTGACTTTGTCAAACCTTAAGAGTGCAATTCTTCAAATAACCTGATTTTATTATGATGTCTGATTCTTGTTCTTCAGGAGATCAGACCTGATTATATTTGTGGCTAAAGTTACTTGCTTTAAATAAAGAAAAATGAGGAATACCATACTTGCTGCTGAACAGATTAGAAATCTACAGATTTCTATTAATCAATTCATATTGACAGGTAAGGTTCAAGGAATTTAGAAACAGGAAGGCCACCAAAAACTAAAAGCATTTGGAATAGAAGAAAAGTTTCTGTAATCAAAAGCTCAAATGAGCCTAAGGACAGGAACAAGGTACAGTAACAATCAAGGAGGGACAGTGAGAGACAGAAGCCATGAGGCGATGCTGTACAGGAGAATAGAAGACAAGACAAATAAATAAATGACAAAGCATCAGAATAACGTGAGGACTTGATTTTTCAGCAGTGCTGAACACTACTGCAAGTCTAGCCCCTAGTTCTTAATGAACTGGTTCATCACAAAATCTTGCCAAAATACCTGAAGGATTTATGCATTCATTTATTTAAAAAGCAGAAACCTACACAAAAATAACTTTACTTAGATTAAAGGAAGCAAAGAGAGTGGCAAAATTATCTACCTTTACCCAGTGTTTACTGTCTTTCTGGAAATGGGTTGATAAGTTGCAGAAAATTGTTAGTCTTCAAGTATGGCTAATCTATTGACAGCATTACTATAAATTAACTCATACAATTTGCATAACTATAGCATAGTACAAGCACTCAAACTTGGTAGCTGAGTAGGTATTTCTTAGAACTATGGATCCATCATCAGGATGCCATGAGGTACTTTGAGTTTATACTCAGTATTTTGCCAAGTGATGCAAGTGAGGTGTTGCATTTTTAGCAGTGCTGCATTGTGTGAAATTTAAAAATATTAACCTGCAATTTTCAAAATTAAAACGAAAAGATCTGATTTGTGATTGTTTTCAAACCTTAATTTTTTATGTCTGCAAAATTCATTCCCACACACAAAATTCCAAGTGTTATAAATAATAAGGCATGTATATGAACAACAAAACAGCTGAGCCATGCAGGTCCAGGCAATAAAAGCTGACTTACAAAATGATAAAAATTTATGAAAGCACATGAAATGCATTACAAGTTTTGCAAACTGATCAGGTACTACGCCTCTTTAAATTCATAAAATCATAAGACAGCAAAAACTATAAATCATTGTGAAAAAAATGATACTGAAAAGCATGTAAAAATCATGATGTATTTCCTAAAAATATGTGCCAAGACATAGCCTAGTGGAAACAATGTACCTCTGATGCTCTTCACTTAGTAGTGTAGAAACAGAATACTTGTAGTCTCCAAATTTTCTCACTTAGCCATATGCTGGCTGTGCATGGGGAAGCACTCTTTCAATCTCAGCAGAGCTTTTGTTTCTGGCTATCCTGGATATCTTTGATATCCACAGAGCTAGCCTTCGCTTGCTCCCTGGTTTTCATGCAGCAACTGGCGTCTCATGCAATCCAGGTATATGGTGAAAAGTTCAACTACTCTGCTACAAGGTGAGCACTGTAACCTCCCAAGTTACTCTTGGAGGTTCCATTTATTTCTCTTATATACAAGAATAGCAGCAATACTATTATTTTCATAGTTTTAACATAGGCAAATTGTTCTTTCCATTAAAAAAAAAATGGAAAAGTACTGTTATCATGACATAATGAATACTGGAACAGTTAACAGACTCCTGGAGCACACTAACTACTTTTATCCGTTTATCAACTCTGAAGCAAATGAAGGAGACAAGCAAAAGATAACATTGTTATAACTATTTTTTAGTTGTACTACCCAATGACTTGCCAAATCCATCTGTACAAGCTCCTGAACTTAGCTGTTATCCAGGTTAAATTGGCTCTAGCAATCTGAAAAAAAAAATGGATTTTTGAATGATATGCAAGGAATATGGTTTGGCTTTTTCTTTTTTTTTTTTTTAATTTATTTTAACAGAGACAATTTGAGACAATGGTTGAAAATAAGCAGAAGACGGTCTGTGGAACTAGGGAGTGAAATAGAAGACATCAATTTTCTTGAACACATTTATTCTCTGCCACTTTGTTATCTTTTACTTCAAAATTTTACTTTGTTATACAGTCACAGAAACTAAAAGCATTCCTGCAAAGTTCTTTTGATTCTGACTTACAAAAAGGACTATTTCTGTCTTAGGTTAGCAGGAATGCTGTGTCCAGTTCTGGGCTCCTCAGTAAAAGAGACCCTTGGAACAGGTCCTGTGGAGGGTGAGTGAGGACAATTAGGGGAGCAACTCTCTTAACAAGAAAAGCTGGGAGAGCTGGGCCTGTTCAGTCTCAAAATTGAATGACTGAAAGGGAACTTAATTGATATCCATAAGGGATATCAAGAGGATGGAGCCAGGCTGTCCTTGGGAGCGACAAGCAATGGGATGTAAAGCGACGGGAAGAAACTGATGAAAACATGAATACGAGAAAAAACTTCTTTACTGTGCATATGACTGCACACTGAAAAAGACTGTCCACAGCGGTTGTGGAGTCTCTTTCACGAGATACTGCAGAACCGTCGAGATGCGATCTTGCGCCACGTGCTCCAGGATGGCCGTGCCGGGGCAGGGAGGTTGCACCGGATGGCCCAGCGAGGTGCGGCCCCGCTGGCGCGCTCTGACGGGGCGGCCGGGCACCCAACGCGCCGCTGCCCGCCGCTCCAGGCGCTGCCCGCCGCGGCGGCCGGGCGCAGGCGCTGCCCGCGCGGCGGGGGCCGGGCTGGGCCGGGCGCCCGGCCGCGCGGGGTGCCCGGCCCGGTGCCTGCTGCCCGCCGCGGCGCCCGCGCGGCCGGCAGGACGGGGCCGCGCTCCCGCGGGGCTCGCGCGGGCCGGGCAGCGCGGCGGGGCCGGCGCGGGGCGGCGCGGCGCGGCGGCGGCGGCGCGGGGCGGCGGAGGGCGAGCAGGCGAACGCCGGAGCTGCCACATCCGGGCGGCGGCGGCGGCACCTGCCGCGGCGGGGGCCTCGGTGACATTGGGGCTCGGCGGCTGAAGGGGGAGGCAGCGCCGCGGAGCCTGCAGAGAGCGAGAGCTTCGCCCGCACCCGCCGCCACCGAACCACCGCCACCCCGGCGCCGCCGCCATGGTGCTGCGCACCGTCCTCACGCACGCGAAGAAGCACCCGGCCGTGAGTACCTGAGCCCGGGCACCCGGCCCCGCGCCCGCCCTTCCCTGCCGCCCATCGGTGTCCCGGTCGCGTCCTCCTCGCCCCTCCGTCTCTTTTCCTGCACCCAGACACGGCCAGGTCCCTTTTCCCCTCCGGTTGCTGCGGCCTTGCTCATGCTGCAGGGCTCGAGGTTGCCCTTCCGTTTTTCATGCCCAGCGGTTTGCCCCCACGCTAGCCCTCCCGTGTTTCTGGGTTTGTAACCCGAATACAGACGGTAGGGGCATTTTGGCAGTGAAGGGAGGGTTGTCTGTCGCAAAAACGCCACGTAACGGAATTGTTGGTTTGGGTTTGCTCTCTGAATGTAGGACTGTTTCTTCATACCTGCCTTTCCATAGTTGTTAGTTCCTCAATGATTCCAACGATATCCTGCAAACAGGGAACTTAGGCCAGGGGTTTAGAGGGCCACGTATTTGTAAAGTCAAAGATTGTTATTTTGCTTGCTATAGCTGACGTCAGAAGTGTTATGTATCAATACTATTTTGTTGTATTGCAGGATGATATTTAACTTTTTGTATTGTTATTCCAGTTGATCCCTCTGTTTGTGATCATTGGATCTGGAGGTATTGGTGCAAGCCTGTATCTTATGCGTTTGGCAATGTTCAACCCTGATGTTAGGTATGTATTCAGTAATCAATCCCCAGTGACAGTCCTCTTGCTGCATATGTTACACTCCACTGCCTTGGTTTTTGTGTTTCTGGAGGCCTTAATGTCTTCATCCAGTATCACCTGACATTAAGTGTGTGAAGCTTTCCTTGATCTGGCAATCTCTTTGTTTACCATGATATTTAGAGACTGCTGACAAAGGACAGTGCCTTTTTCTGTAGAAACTTGCTTGGATGGCTTACTCAGTGACCTAATAACCACAGTACTTTTTTTTTTTTTTAAATTTTGAAGATAGTGTTAATATTCTCTCACATCTTGCATTTCTCTCAATAGCTGGGACAAGAAAAATAACCCAGAACCTTGGAACAAAATGGCTCCCAATGACCAGTACAAGGTAAACTGAGGAATACGGATTTTTATGAAGCATCATATTTGAGGTGTAGCCGACTGCTTTAGGATGTTTGATTATATGGGCAAGTAGTTGGATGAGTGATGTATTCCTTTTGTGCAGCATTTGATTGTCTCTAGAGCTCTGAGCAGAGATAGCCGAGTTTGAGTTTTAAAACTCTCCTAATGGTGGTTGATAATGGGGTGAAAAGAGTCTGTATTAAAGCAGTCATATTTATTGCACTGTTAGGAAAAAAGCAGCTATAAGTGAGAGGGAAAAATTTACTGGTTCATAATACTCAGAAATAAACTACATGGAGAAGGACAAAACCTCAGAAGATCTGAATAAGCTGTTGGCTTTTACTCATGAGAAGCAGGAAAATGTCAGTGTTTAATGTAACTATGAGTTCAGGTCTGCAGTTGACTTTTTGAAAACAAAACAATATTGTAAGTAACTGGATGCAATAGTAATGTTTTTTAGCTGATATTAAAATAATTTCATAGAGCTAATGAAGAAGCATGCAAAGATGTCTAAAACATTTGTAGTTTTGAGGATTCCTTAAATTGTAGACTCATTCGTGTTGTAAAAGACTTCAAGGATTATCAAGTTCAACCTTTGACTGAACACCATGTTGTCAGCTAGACCATAGCACTAAATGCCGTATCCAGTCATTTCTTCCACACTTGCAGGGGTGGTGACTCCATCCCCACCCATGGCAATCTGTTGCAATGTGCGACAGTCCTTCCAGTGAAGAAATTCTTCCTGAGGTCCAATGTGAACCTCCTCTGATGCAGCTGGAGGTTGTGTCCTCTTGTCCTGTTGCTGATTGCCTGGGAGAAGAGGCCAACCTGGCTACATCGTCTTCAGGGAGTTGTAGAGAGTGAACAACCACCCCTGAGCTTCCTGTTCTCCAGGATGAACAACAGCTCCCTCAGACAATCCTCGTATGATTTACTCTCTGTGCCCTTCACCAGCTTCATTGTCCTATTGTGCTATTTTAGTAGATTGCTGTTAAGAATATTTTAAGATTATTTTCATGCTACAAAAAGCAAACCTACTGTGTCTTCAAAGGTAGTATCTTGTTTGGTACCATATACTACGATCCAAATCATTGAAATAAACAGAAAAACCCCACACTTCCAAAATAAAACAGGTTGTGGTTCCCTTAAAAGTCCAAGAAGAACATTTCATTCTTTGTTTTCATTGCCAGTTCTGGAATGTTGCTGGTTTGTAAATATCCAGACTCGGCTAGTCCTGCATAGTGCACAGCACAAATTCTTTTAAAGAGTGGATGACTCGTGTAGCATTCCCCTTCTGCCTTAACATGCAAACACAGCCTCTGGGTTTGCCATATTTGGGTGTGAGAATCACTGCTGACATTTTTTCCAAATCTGCCTTATGGGATATGAAAAGGACATACATTCTAATTTGAGGATGACTCTTTAGTAAAAAGTTCTTGTTATACAAGTCTTAGCTTTTGATGGGATTTTTTTTTCTATTGTAAGCTTCTTTTTGTCCTATTAACTTCCTCAGTCTTTTTTCCAAAGAAAAGAATTGACAACCTGAGCATTACTGTAGGAGTTGCAGAGAAAGTTGCAATTTGAATGTGATGTAGGCTGTTGTGTTTTCTTTAAGAAAGTTAAAAAAAAATAAAAATTGGATGTAACTAAAAATAATCAAACTGATAGTTACGTGCTTTTTAATCTTTTTGTTTTTAAGAAAAACTGTGCTATCACATGATTGATGTCAAGTCAGGCTGTGATGCCAAAATATGCAGTTAGTTTGTAAACTCATTGTCCTCTCATTGTTCTGGATTGCTTGTAACAGAATCCAATTAGCATGTGAGAGGATCTCTTCTGACTTTAATTCCTCCTGTCATCCTTTGCAGTTCTAGATGCAGCTACCTAAACCAAACTTGACTCTTCTAGCACTGCTCTAAAAGTTCTTTTGTGCTGCTGTCTGTTCACAGACACTGCTTTGACGGCAAAAGCCAGCTTGCCATGTGGCACAATATGCAGGAGCCATAGATTGTGAGCAAAATGGATAAACTCATCAGTACTGTAGAAAGTTCCTCTGAATGGACTTCTAATTCTGGGAGTTAAGAAGAGACACTGTTGGTTTTCTTTAGTGGAAGACATGACCACTCATTTTAAATGCAGAACTTTTAATACTGGGTGTAGAATTAATATTAAAAAGTTACTGTTTATCAAAAGTTTTTATTTATTTATTTATTAGCACCCAGTTCACAGATTCAAAATATGATTTCAGTTTCCTGGCAGAAGTTCAATGATGCATATTTTTAGTAAATACCAGGGAAAAAAGCTTCTTAATTCATATTCTTTCCCTTCTCTTTCCTAGTTGTTCTCGATTAATATGGACTACAGTAGACTGAAAAAGGACCGTCCTGACTTCTAAAAACACAATAATGTCTGTAAGCTGCACAGAAAGGTCTTCCGGAAGCTGTTCGCACAAGTGTCATGTTTAATCATCCAGGAAATTAAATTTGCCTCACACAGCACCAGGTCATGTGTTTGAAACTGTTTTGACGAGGCTTAATAAATGTTTAAAACTTGAAGTGTCTGCTCTTTCATTTTGCAAAATGACAATATCGTCCTATTAACAGTTGCTGCTGTATGGTTTGTCAGTAAGCAAAAGCTATTTCATGTTTCCTTGACAAGAAAGCAAAGTTGTTATGGTGGGCCTTATGCTCAGTGTATTGATCTCAGAAAAATAACTGCATGCTCATGCAGTTATACCAAACTTCAAAAACTTGAAAGCATACATTTATGTATATGCATAAATATTTTTTAATATACCTGAATTTATCTACTTGCCACTTTAAGAAGTTTTGATTGCAGAAAAGTCAATGCCAACAAGTCATTATCCATCAGGGAGGGAGCAGATGTTGCCATATGTTGCTGGAGGGAAGGAAAAAGCCAGACTGTGCTCTCCAAAAGTTTTTGTTTCTTACTTTTTTCTCTTCAAGTTAAGCAGATGTTTTTTTTTTTTAATAAACAGACAACTTTCAATATTTAAAAAATCAAATTCTACAAACATTGTCAAGATTTCCTGTAGATCACAGATTTAAGGAAGTGAAGCACATAGCAGACGAGGATACAGGTTTTGGGAAATAATTAGCTATTTATGTAAGAACAAAAATACATTTCAGAAAGGGCAAAATCTTGCACTTTAGTACCTGGCTGAGTATTGCTATTGGCTTGGTCTTGCTATGGGAAGACAAAGTATCTTTGCAAGTCTGTAACTTATGGTAGGTTCTTTGTGCTTTACTGTGAACATCTGGCACTTCTTTGGATAAGGGGTATTAATTCTGGGCTGTCTGACAGAGTACAGCTGTTCTTATCTTGATAATCTCTGCTTAAAGTTGACTCCAAGAATGTAGATAACTATAGCAACTATTACAAGTAATAAAGGCAAATCAAGCAGCAAGAACTTGGAGAAGAAAATTATTCAGTGGTAATTGGAAAATAACTGATATTTGCAAAGACGTATTTTATATGGAACAGCCTTGTAGGTAAAATTATATCATTTATTTGGTAGCAGTTCAGATTATCCTTTTATTATGTACGGAACTGGTGGATTCACTCAGTTTTCATTTGCTTGAAGGGCTCTCATGAAGTCTGAATAAGAAAAAGTGTATTATGACATGAGACATTATTACAGTGGTGAGCAAAGCCCATAGGTGTCCTTGGGGAATGGTTCCTCTCTGGATCCAAATAGAACTGTTGCAACACTTTTGTTCAGTTTTAAAAGTATGTTGTGTAAAAACGGGAACTGTGTTTTATAGCTTGGTAGCTGGAGTTCATTTGAATTTTATCTCTTCAAATACAGATTCTCTGGACATTATAAAAGACCAATATCCAGGAAGTAAACCAAATTCGTAGGTGAGACAAGGTTATTCTTTTTGTGCACAGCTGACATAGGCTTATGTCTTCCTTAATAAAGGCACTTCAATGTATATTTCAAATATATTTAACAAGTGCTTAAGCTACGTAATTCTTTAAATATAGATAGACTAGAAAACAAAAGGCAATTAATTCAGTGTTACTGTCTTTGCCCATTACAGCATACTTGCTCCTAAAAATACATAACACTTAAGATTTTCTAAGTTTAATTATTTTAGAAGTTATTATCCTGAGGGGACACTTTCTCCTTTTTCTTGTGGGGATATACTTCTATCCTATGTTAAATGTAGTGGGCAATAGTCACCATTATTTGCCATCTTAAAAGTAATAAATATCGTAAGAAACAACCTTCCCTTCCTTCCTTCCTTCCTTCCTTCCTTGCTTCCTTCCTTCCTTCCTTCCTTCCTTCCTTGCTTCCTTCCTTCCTTCCTTCCTTCCTTCCTCCCTTCCTCCCTTCCTTCCTTCCTCCCTTCCTCCCCTCCATTTTTGTAGGGTATTGTTGAAAGACAGCCAGCATGGCAATATTTTGTCTGTATTGAAGTATTCAAGGACTACTTTAAAACAATCACCTATGTCTTTCTTCATGAATCCAAAGATAGAATTCCCTGAAGACAGTGTGAAGAAGTGACTGCAGTTTGGATTCTTAGAATTACATCTTATATTTACTTTTGGCTATTAACTGTTATGAAACAATGAAATCCCATCATTAGTAGGAAAAGTTAAATCATTAATGCCATGTCTTGTAATTTTGCTTGAGCAGATGTGTTATCTGAAAGAGGCTGATATTCTGCTGTCTTAGATTTCAACTGGACACAGGCACTTGATTTGTGGCACGGTTTTTTTTGAATGGTCAGTGTGCACTTGGTCTTAATGTCCTTTTCATGAGCCACATACAGAAGAGTCCTCTTATTTTTGCATTGAAGCACTGTGCATGCTACAGCATTGCGCTTGCATCAGATTTCTGTTAACAGAGTTAGTCTGTGCCTCATCAGTGGTCCTGATTATGCAGCAGAGTGATTAAATCGGAAATTAATTCTGCCCATCTAGGATAGAAAGACTTACAGGTTTCTGTAGCTCTGGCACATGAACGCATATTCTATACAGCATGTTCAACATTTTTTTATTTGCCTGCAGTAAGGAAAGCTCCTTGTATCTAGCTGCCTCTAAGAAATTAGAAGGGTTTGCCTGATATTAAAAGAATAATTTAATTTTTTTGTGGGATTTATAGGCAAATGTCATCTGAGGAATACATTTCAGATCTGTTTTCAACCTCTGCCTTACATTTATAGTTAGTTTGGTGCATGACTATTGAATGACCTTTAAAATAAGGAAATATATGTTAAATGCTGATTCACTAGTGATACTTGGTCAGGAAGAAAGATTGAGAGGTTATGACAGGAATTTTAGAAATGTATCTTGAATGAGCTAATTTTAAAAAATGAGAGATGTGCAAGTGCAGACTGAGTTATTGGCTATGCTGACTGCCCAGCCTTACTATGGATGCAACTGGATGAGCTGTAGAACCACTTCTTCAGTACAAAGTGAAGCATAGCAGGTCTGTTACAACTACAGAAAAGAGGTATTCATTAGCATCGTTGCCACAGAAGGTTTTTTTAATATTACTTAATAGAAGACTTACTCTTCAGTCCTCTCTTTTGAAATCCAGAAGTTGGTCGACTTGTTGCTCTTGTGATCCATTCACTTTTCCTTAGAAGTGGTCTTTACATCAGTATTTAGCCATGAGAAATTTCTGTGAAGCTCAAATGATTTCATATGCTCCTCTGATCTTTAAGCTTCTTAAGACTGTCTCTGGACACTACTATGATGGCATATTTCTCAAATATGTGCTGATTCTGGTGTTGTGAAGTTTGGAAGAATCTTTTTGGGCTTTGGGGTTCTTTTTCAAGAATTTCCAAGTGCTTGTGTCTGTTTGGTCAGGCTTAACACTGTAAGTAAGAATGACGTGAGCCAGTACAATGCAAGAAGATAAAAATCTCCTCCATTCTTAAGAAGCAAATCCATTTTTAGCATCCAGAATAATGTTTATCTGAACTAGAAAAATAATTTGCATTTTGTTTTTGTTTTTCTCTATTTTGGAAGTTTCATTTAAATGAAAAAATAATGTTTTGACTTTCTAAACTAACTTTCTAAGCTAATTCTCACAGTTACAAGGTGAAGAGGCTAGGAGATCACCACACTTTAATTTTCTTCTCTGTTTTCAGTCAGAATCAGTGATGCTTTTGGTAATGTGAAATGTGACCATAAGTATGCAAGTAAAGGCAAAAAAAAAAGTATTTAAACTTTTGATAGTTTACTATCAGCATTTACCTGACATTCATTTGCTACTAGAATTGCAAGACTGGCAAGTGGAACTCCTGCAAGAGACAGCAAATTCTGAAGATGATCAGAAAATAGATTATTAACACATGGCAATGCATACATTAAAAAGAAGAAAAGAAATTCTGCTGGTTATATTCATGGGTATTGTCAATGCTTTATAACAGTCACCTAAAATAATATTTCTAGGTTCATTAATTTGAATTACTTTGGACAAAATAATGCACTACACCATTTACAGTTCATCACTATAATGTAAAGACAACTTTACAAGAGAGCTGCACAAGCCATAATCCAATAGACAAATTTATAGACTTGTTTTTTTCACATTGGAAGCAAACTAACTATGAACATGAAATGTTTTCTAATTTTAGTTTCTCTACTGCAGGCAAATGAAACAAACTGCTGAGAAGGTAATGAAAACAGATTACTTAATGGTGAAAAATTTGAGTGCCATTCTTTTTCTACCAGTGGTGCCACTGCTGGAATTTAATGGAGTGGCACCAGTGTGTCTGAATGAAGATTTTGATCCCAGCTGTTTAAAAATAGGGTTGAATCTAATAAGATTTCCTCAGTACTGAGAGCAGGAAGATAGAAGTTGTTATTAACACAAAGAAAGTGGAATTTCATCCCAGTTTCAAACTTCTGCTGTAGTTCCATGATGATTTGTTATCTTCATGTTAAGTCAAACAAATTTAACTTCCTAGCTTTCATGGAAGATTAAGGGAGAAAATTTCAGCCCAGCAGTAAAGATAATGTGCTTTAAATGACCAAGGATCATTGAAGCTTTTTTTTTAAGTTTTCATGTGAAAGTCATCTCTCTCCTACCCCTTTATAAAAGTCCAGGTAAGTTCCGGAGGTATTCCAGGAGGGAAAAAAAGAGCAACAGACATGTGATGGAATAGACAGATGGAGCTGCATCAGGTTTTACATCAATTACAATAAGTTCTTGGATTTAGTGCAGGAGCTTTCTTAGTTTATGTCCTTCAATTTCTGCATATTTTTGGCAATGCAGAAGTTGTTTATTACACCAGCCATGACTGCTTGGCCTGTTAGGATGCAGTGAGAATTAGGCTGAGAGTAAAGACAAAAGCATGATATTCTAATGGGTTTAAATTACTGTGCAAAATAATAAAGCAGTAGCAGAATAACTGCAGAAGAAGGTCTGGTGCACTGTCTTCTGAATTTAGACTACTAATGACAAGTTTGTACTAGTGCCCTAGTGTGAAATAAAAAACAATTTTATGGGTGATTTTGAAAATAGCATTCTTTCTTTCTACATTGCCTCATAGAAGCACAGTTCCAACAAGTAAAA